GTTTTGATTTCATTGTTAAGCTACCCAAGTCGCAAGGGTTGAGCAATACAGGTGGTAGTGACAGGCTGAGTAAGTATAAGCCAATTTGAGTGCTTTGAAACATCCTTATTCGGCTCACACGCGTGCAGAGAGGTTCGTTCAAGAAATAGTGAGGTTACATGGGGATCATTATGTCAGAGTCAGTGATAGAGGACCCCCTGTTTTTGAGTGTATTTTGGAAAGAGCTCTTCAGGATGAAGGGTACTCAGCTTCGTATGAGCACAACATATCATCCTGAGTCGGATGGCAGACGAGTGGTGAACAAATTTTGGGGGGTATGGAGGGGTGTTTGTCTCAGAGAGCAGACGAGGAGTTGGGAAGTGATGCTTCCTTGGGCTGAGTACTGGATAATACCAGTGTATCAAAGTGCAAGCCCGTGTTCCCCTTTTGAAATAGTTTATGAAGAGCACCTCCAGCTTTGCGTCGGTTTATTACTGGGGAGCACGGTTGGAGTCGGTGGTTCAGATGTGATGGACAAGGATGGGCTTGGAAACAGCTAAAATGATTAAGGCAAGCACAAGAGGCGATGAGTAATCAGGCCAAATAAAAAAAAGGAAAGAATCAGACATTAAGATAGGCGATGGGTCATTTAAAAGATTAGACCCCATAGACAATCATCCATGCCAACTCGATTACATCCGAAGCTATCAGCAAGGTATTATGGACCCTTTGAGGTATTACAGCAGATTGGGAAAGTTGCGTTTAGGTTGCAATTACCAGAGGCGGCCAGAATCCATCCAATATTCCACGTTTCCCAATTGAAGAAAGCTGTGGGGGAGAAAGAAAGTTGAAAAAGAGCTTCCAGCTGAGTTACAAGCAGATGGACCAATGTTTAGGCCAGCCAAGGTGCTGGACAGGAGAACTCGACAACTGGGAACAGAGGAAATACCCTAAGTTTTGATAGAATGGCAAGAAGGGGGACAAGAGAGTGCCACATGGGCAGAGAGGTGGACTTATACAAGAACAATAACCAGGAGTTCAACCTTGGGGACAGGTTGTTGGAGGAGAGGGGAGAGTAAGTTAGGGAGTTTATTGTATATAGGAGGAGGGGTAAAGGGGTCACAGAGCATAAGTGCCAAGGCAGTTAGGAATAGTTTCTGTAGTGCGGTTAGTAAGTGATATAAAAGGGGATTAGTGGTGGTTGGGTTTAGTTTTGGAGTATTATGTTTTGCGGGAACTCTTGTAGTTCGTTGGAGGGAGGGTAGCTCTCGGTTACGTTGTAAACACCATTCGTGTTTGATCTTTTCAATAAAAAAGGAGGCTTTGTATAATTCAGAAGAACTTATTCTTTGTGGTTCTCGAGTGGTTGTTCCATAGGTTCTTGATCACAAGAACCTATCACACATAGACTAGTAGTATAGTGAGTTTACCTGTAATGAAGTGAATTTATGAATAAATATGATGTCCTTGGCTTTGCTTGTATCCTAAAGAATCCATTGCTTTTTAAATCTCCCAAATCATGCTATTGGAGATTGCTTAAAATCATATAAGGTTTTTTTTAAAAACCATAGCTTATTCCTTCTACTATGAGTTTCGAATCCTGTGGGAGTCTCCATGTACACACGTCTTCTAAAGTTGCACGAAGACATTCTTTACGTCCAACTGGAACAAGTCCCATTCAAAATGAGTTACTAGATAAAGGTTTGTTGAAAAAAATAAAAACCCTCAGGAGACAATGAGTGCACCAGGCCAACCTGGTTTTGAAGAGGGCTCTAGATTCCATGTTAAACTATAGGAAAGAGAGAGACATTGAACTGAAATTGTGTGTTTTTGAGAGAACACGGATTCTTTCTTTATATTGAGAGAGAAAAATCAATACAATAAGTAGAGGAGATTTGGTATCCTCTAATAATAAATATATGATATGGAAATAAATAAAAACACATATTTATATATTCTTGATTGTACAGGATCTGCTGCTTATTTTTTTATAATAACAACCCCTCTAGTTTACTGCAAGCAAGCTATTAATGAAATACGAGTGTAACCCATACAAACAATTTAATTGATGCTATTTGAGCACTGAATTTTTGATGATTAATTTCCGATGCTATGTTTATTTATGCTTGATTTAAGTTGGAATTTCAAGCACCCATTGGTCTGTAAATATTTCCTCTGAAGCTTGGAGTCTGTTATTGCAGAAAGTGAGTGTGATTGCTACCACAGTTACCAGCTCTGCTGGAAGAAGAAAGTTGTTTGCCCAGATAAATAGCTTTATTGCTGTTTTCATTCTTGGTGGACAGCTATCCTTGACGGTAAGCTCTTCCTGAAATAACTCATGGTACATATTCATCTTTCTTTCACAGTTGAGTTCACTTGAATAGAGAATGAATTTTATTATTATCATTCATGTCTATTACATTCTCCTTACACCTATTTGTAATAATCTATTCTTCCAAAAAAAGGAAACAAGGAAACAATATACTGAAAAATAAATTAGGAGATGCTACAGATATTTTCTCTAATTAGGAAGATTTTCCTCTAATTACAACAAGTTCAAACTTGTTTCTAATAATAAAATTTGACAAGGCTGGTAGACTAAGTATAAATTTCTGAGTTTGCGTTTCTAAAATTACCCTTAGCATAGCACAAGAACCCATCTTTATATATAGGTAATTCTTAGAGCTCAAGCTAGATTTAGATATTCTGTGATGAAATGATGAGTTCTCACATTGAAGCGATTCTTGAAAATATTTTTCTAATAGTAAGTTAACACGTAAGAGGCATAATTCAATATTCTGTATTAGTATTTGATCTAGCAACTATGGTCTGCATTTTTCTTTTCCATGAGGTAGAGTTGGCCCTCTAGTAAGAACACATTATATAGAGGTGTACCTTCTATCACCAGGAGATCCAGCTCAAATATCACAAATTGCTTTCGGGGAAGAACCCTGCAAACGTCAAAATTCTAACCATTGTACAATGACTATCAACGGTAAAACAATAAATTATAGAACTATTGATGAAAGTTACATGTAGTCTGGTTCACAAAGTAATTAAGGGCAATCTAAGTGCTTTAGTTTTAAGTTTCAAAGCTGTAAAAAACCTAAATTAGGTTTTAGATTTAGTTTTTTTTTTTAAGTTGTTAATAAGTGGACTTTAAGTCTAACTCAATTCCACAAAACTAGCTTGTAAGGTGAGGTTTGCACTTATATATATATATATATATATATATATATTCTAAATTGACCTTATCTCTTGTCGATGTTGGACTTCCAACAAAAACTATAAGAAGTTACCATTGATTTAATAATTTTCTTTTAAAAAATTGTTGCCAGTAACATTTATTTCACAATATTTTTTTTCTGGTAACTTAACCGGTAGATGCATATGTTGCCAAAAAAGAAAAAAATAGATAGTGGATAACCCCTTTTGGAAATGCAAACTGTTTCAATAATTATGGAATGCCCCCACTTGTAAAGTAGACATGAGGAAATTTCTTGTGGTTGGCTCTTGGTATCTACATCCGTTCTCCTAAGGTTGTCTTTATGGACAAGTGAATTCATCCCAAGAATGCAAAGAACACCCATGCTCAAGTGTGCATTCAGATTCTTGTTTTTGCTCAAGAATATTGAACGCTTAGGAATCTCTTTGCGATTACAGGGGAGATTGGTATTCTATATCCATTGATCAAGCAACTACACATGGGCAGTATTGATGTTTTTTTTTCGATCTTCTGACCTGAAATGGTAGCGCTCTGATCATTCCTTAGCGTTGCCAATCTTCCTACTTGAGTCATGATCCTCAAATTTACATGTGCGGAAGAAATTTAGTTTTGCATTTTAAATATCAGGTTAATTTACTGCTGCACCGTAAGTTGCAGACCAATTTAGGGACATAAAACTGATTCAAGAGTGATGTCAGAAGTAACCACAAAACCTTTACCAATCACTTTAGAAGTTGTTCTATCTACTACGTACAATAAAATTATTGTGGAATTGGTGTCTTTTCTAAATACATGAATATCGTCAGCCATGTGTTATGAGGCTCCAAATCACTTTAGAACTTTGGAGCTTATTTTCTGGTGGAGGACATGAAAACCTGCAAAATGATTACCTTTCTGAGCAATTGTAGTAGTGGAAGTGGGTACTAGTATTTTGAAGACCCTTTTTAAGCAATTTTTGAAACATAGCTGCATCACTGCTGAATAAATTGGATTTAACTGCTTTTTTTGATCTTTTTTCAACAATTGTATGAACATGATATCCATGTAAAGTGGTTTAAATTCTGAAGGTTTTCTACGACGAATCTGTTAGAAAACTGTTTCTGATATTATTCATAGAGGAGCAATTGCTCTTAAATAGAAACTGCTTTAGTGATTAATGTTGGTCAAGGGTCACATTGGGAGGAAGAGACAAGTCATCATTTGTCTTCCTCAAAATGGAGGAAACTGAACATTCCAATTTTTGCGGGGAGGTGTATGGTTGGACTAATTGTCTTGAATGTTATTTTTGATTGAAGGAAGTTATTGAGGAGGAACGAATGCAGGCTGTCATACTTGCTTTGGAAGGGAGGGCCTTAATTAGTTTCAGTGGTGGGAAATCTGCAATCCAAATCCTACGTGGGAAGCATTGAAGGTAGTCGTTGTCCGCCGTTTTTAACCCATAATGCTTCAAAATCCTTTTGAAATTCTAATTGGGTTGCGCCAATTGGTGTTGATGGAGGATTATATTCAACAATATGTTGGGTTTCTGAAGGGGATTCGTCAGGATTATTTGGTTGGCATTTTTTTGTATGAACCTAGTTGTTACGTACCTGAGTACGAAACTTAACCAGAACAATCTCTCACGCACTCTCACAGACAAATAGATAATAGAAAATGGATGAATAAACCTCTTTTATTGATAAGAATAACTGAATAAACAAAAGTAAACAATAATTCGGAGCATAACCTCTGTCAATTATTCTGGAGCATAACCTCCTTCACTAAACTCTCAAATCAAAAGCCTGCCTTTAACCTTAGACTCTCCCTTTATTTATTCTAATTATTTCCCACCCAACTTGTACTGAGTATGTTAGGGGCTAGCAAGTATACGAGAGAAAGAGATATAGGAGAGAAAAAGAAGGGAACCGAACGGTAGAGGACATGGGCCGAATGGTGGAAAGGGTGGAGCACAATGGCCGAATGGTAGAGGACATGGGCCGAACGGTGGAAAGGGTGGAGCACGATGGCGGAACGGTTAATAACAGGGAGCGAGCGGATCAAATGATAGAAGGTGGAGAGGGACCTGGCCGAGCGGTAGAAGGAAGAGAGAAAGAGGACCGAACGGTTGGGAGTAGTGGGGAGCATCCTAACTGACACAACAGTTAGGATGGGCGGGACATTTATTAGAATTTATGGTCGTATCTCAGGATATTATTACATATAAGTTAAATAGGGTAAATAAGGATAAAGATATTCTTACCAGATAATCATAATAAATAGGCGTAATTACTTTTATTCTTTACCTTTTCGAGAGGGAGTGATTAGGAATAAGATAGGGGAAACCTAGGGGGAGGAGATATGTTTTTTTGATTGTGAGTTTTGTAAGAGAGGTTAGGCTCTCAGGTAACTGACCGAGACCCTGCTCCTAGTTATTGTTTATTTCCTTTGATACAGTTATTTCCATTTAATAAAGAGGTCTATTCAGCGTTTCACCATTGTTTATTGTGTGAGTGTGTGAGAGGTTGTGTCAGGCAAGTTTACGTACTCAGGTACTAAAGAAGGTGATAGGAGACCTGAAAAAGGACCCCAACTCGCATCCATCTTTTACCTAGAACATGACCGTTTGCACTATAAAGGGAGGCTTGTGATTTCAGCTCAATCGGCCTGGGTACCTAAGCTGATAGCAGAGTTTCACACGACTTAGACAGGAGGGCATTTAGGGGTTTATTGGACTTATCGCAAGGTGACATAATCACTTTATTGGATAGGAATGAAGAAGGCAGTGACTGACTTTGTTGCGAGCTGCCTGGTGTGCCAACAACATAAATATTTGTCATCCTCTCCGCAGGGCTTGCTGCAGCCTTTGCCCATAACCAACGCCATTTGGGAGGAAATAAGTATGGATTTTATAGTGAAGTTGCCGAAATCCCACGGGTATGATGCTGTCTTGGTAGAAGTAGACCGTCTTAGTAAATATGGACATTTCTTACCACTGAAACACCCCTATTCCGCCTGTACCATAGCTGAAGTGTTTGTTAAGGAGATTGTCCAGTTGCATGGGGTACCTGTATCTATCGTTAGTGACACGAAGCCACTATTTCTAAGTATCTTCTGGAAGGAGCTGTTTAAACTGTA